GTTTTGAAGCTTGAGTCATGAACAATAAAACTTATCGGTTAAATTTTTTAAAATGATATAATTTTTTTTTGTTTTAGAATTTTGAAGTTGACCAATTGTTACTATAAGCAATTAATGATTATAGATGATCTGCACCGTACTTATCTTGATGAGACTTATAAATCATAAATAAAAGAATTCATAAGATAGAAAAATTAAAAGTATATAAATTAGTGGAAGACTGGATTTGGAGACCTACTTTAATCAAAACTAAACTATTAATTGAAAAAAACCTCAAATAGAAATTTTAGCTGAAATTTAGCTATCAAAATTCAAATTTATTATTTTAAATTAGGATAAAATTTTATTTTTTGGGCTTGGGATTTTAATTATTAATAAATATAATTTTAACTGGATCATGCTTGAAACAATTGATTTCATCAAAATAATTATAATGTAGACTTGAAAATCAACAATCCAATAATTAATTAATTAAATAAACAAAGATAGCCAATTAACAATAGTTTTATTATGTGATTTTATTACAACATTATTGTCATAAATTTATTTAAGAATTTAAATTATAGTTGTTTGCCATAATTGCCCTTCTTATCAATGATCACAAAGTAGAGAGAAATTCAGTATGGTATAAGGGTGCTGACATATATTAGCTAATATCGTTTTAATAGTAGCGCCTACCCCCACCCCGGGTAAGATATTTGATCACGTGTATAACAATCATTTGCCTTTTTAGATATCAATACTACAAAAAAAATATTTCTGCTGATAAATTAATTTTATTAACATTAAGGTTAAGGCAACATTGGAGTATAAAATTTTCCTTTATAATATATTTAAATCGTCATTGGCGAAAATACAATGCGAGTTATTATTCTAATATGCATGACATAGCCTGGCCTCAATGAATTTGAAATTATAAAAAATTTTTTTTTTGAAATTTTATTATGTTTTAGCCTAATAAAACCCTCTGATATTTTTTATTCTCTTTCACATGATATTTTTTTTAAAGTTACATATTGGTATGTGTTAATATTAAATTTTCATGACGATTCTTATGCATTTAGAAGCAGATGAATTGGCAATTAAAGAAATTTTAAGTTAATCAACCCTTTATCTTCTTATTATTTTTGATTTTCATTAATTATATTACAAATTTTTCATATTAATTGCTTTATTTAATTAACGGGTTAACTTTTGTATAAAATTTTTATTCTATTATTGTATTAATTGAAAAAAATAATTAAATTGGTTGCATTATTGAAATTTTTTTTTAAAGATCTTTTTTCTAGTATCATGTTAATCAGAAATTATCTGGTTCAATTTGATGATAATCTATATCGTCAAAAATCAATCCAATGAATTAATCAATAAATTAATGATAATTGCAGTTGTAAATAAAATAATCTTTTCAGCATTTTAATCTATCATGCATCATTGACTTCCACCTAGTAAATGAAAATGAAAATGAATTTAAAGAAAAGCAATAAAGGTGTTATTAGACCAGATAACACAGATAAACAAATTTGACTTGCATTCTTTGGTTTACCAACTGTCAATCTAGTCATTGTCATCTTCATCGTTGGTGACATCAATTTAGTAGTGATAGGTGACATTGGAGATGAGTTCAGTCTCTTTATATCTTCTTCAACAATCATCTGTCATCAAAAAATGGTAAATATTTCCAAATCATTAATATGATACTAAGATACACACAATCCAGTAGAAACATTTCTAAACTTACTGATAGATTGCTTATTTGATATATTGCACCTTCAACTAAGCTGAAGCTCAAGTGGCTCCTGGAAAGCTCAAACTCACCAAGTAGATACATCTGATAAACACCATCAAAATTTAAGTCCATCACATATATTCTAGCATTGTAACCTGTAGTTGAAGTTTGCAATGAATGATTAAATATAATTATGAAAGCAGATAATCAAGCAGTAAATTCACGCACCAAAAACATGAAGGCCATATGTCCTGATCTCCAGATCAGTGTGGTAGTTATGATAAATGAAATCAATTGAATCTTTCATCACATTTCCCAAATCAACTAAATCAATGCTTGCAGATTTTGTATTTGCTTTTTTTGGCGATTTAAACAATCCAAAAAGGATCTCAAAGTAGTTATGATCACAAAGTCTTATTGCAACATTGAAATCTGGTTTGCTTCCAAATGTACTCGATAGAGATTCTTTATTTGCCCTAAAGTGAATTAAAATAGTTCAAATTTTTGAGATTATGCAATCCAAAAAACTGATTAGTTGATAGTGTTTCATCTAAAAACCTACCAGTTTATTACCCAATTAACTGTGTCTGGAAAAAAAGGTCTTAAGAGTGGATATAAGGAATGGTGTACAAATGTGTCTTCAATTGAAATACCCTCATTGAAACTTGTCCTCCAATTCTGTACACTAAACAAGTGTTCCACATATTAATATATCAATTGTTAATTACATTATTAAAATTTAGTGACAAAATAGAAAACCAAGTTATTCACATACATGTTCTCCCAAACCTGTCGTACTGTACGATGTAATTTTTGATTTTCAGATGATACTGATTTTCTAATGACAATATGGGGCGCGGAAAATAGAAACAGCCCTAACTGCAAAATCTCGATTTTGAGAAAATCGGAAAAAAAGATCTACATTTCAAGTAATTTACTATTGTTTTTAAAAACTTTAACAGAAAATATCTCAAAATTTTACTAAGTAAAGTGGGTATTGTTTCTAAGCTAAAATTAATTCCAGTGGCGAATTACATATAAAAATGTCATTAACTCAAAATCATAATTTTGGTAGTTAGGGCTGTTTCTATTTTCCGCGCCCCATATTTGAATTAAAAAAAAAATTTTTTTATTTCTGCCAGTAATACATTGGACTTACCTGATAACAAGAACTAATTCAAATAAACCTTATTTGAATAGAAACCCTAACAGACAGCATCTATAATGATGACATTTCATCAAATGGAAGATGATGCTTCTCCAGCGATGTCAACTGATGAATCATGATATCAGTTAGATCTTGATTCTCAAGCTCAAGTAAGAATGACTTTAAATTTGTTGTGTATGCCTCTGAAATGGTATTTTTTTAGGTATCCACTTTTAAGCAAGTTTATCGCTTGGTTGTATCTTAGGGGGAATAAGGATTAAAAATCTTTCTCTGTATATGTTATAACCTCCTAGTAATACTGTTCTGATCTTGCTGCAACATTCATCATGGATGCTGAAAGAAGAAAGGCTTGCCATCTTCCACCTTGTATGTAGCAAAATGTAAAATAATGGGTGACATTTACCAGATGATCACCCTGCCTTTTTTATCTTTGGTGTTGAATAATTTCAATTTCGGATCTGATTGTGTAGGTTTGGAAATAGTGGGTAGGTGAGATTTTTGAAGAGCTCGTATTTTGGTCTGTCAAAGTGTTTGTCTATCACGTCATCCCAGTAAGGAGTTTGTTCTCTTCATCGTTCCTCTCATCACTTTCAATGTCCGTTTCCTTGTTTAGCAAGTGCATCTGTTTCACAAATTTTAGATGATACTCAGATAAATATGGCTTCTTGATTAATTGCGGCATTTTAATATAAGAATTGAGTTGCGGTTGCGGTTGTGACATATGAAAATTGAATTGCGGCTAATCATGGTTCTCATCTTTATATTCGGAGGGTGCGAAGGGAAGTAGTGTACTGAGACAGAACATCTGGTTATTGGGTACTGGAGCAAAAGTATCATCAATTCTGTCTCTCATCATGATATGTTTTTGGTATTCAATAGTTCCATCAATGTTGAACAACTCAGACTATTCAGCTATTGTAATGTATTATTTGATGGTTACAATGGTGTATCTGATACTTCATGACCAAATTGCACAGCATTTTTTCTATGGTGGGGTCAAGAACATCTGTACAGATCGCATTAAGTGGAATCAGCTTTTTTCCATGTAGGCAAAACGTGTGGATTGTTCCACAGCTTTGAGATTTGTCATGTTCAAAGAAATGCCTTTCCCCAATTCACCACTTCCACAACTTCAGCAATATAGGTAGATGTGCAACAGGTGATTAAAAAAGTGGAAGGCTATCAGGTGTCTCTGGGAGTAAAAAGATTATATGACCTTGGAAAGAAAGAAAAATAAATACATTCATTGATCTGCAAGTCAATTTTTGCACAAAAAAAAATGAACATTTAACATCTCTTGAAAATAGAGTTTAATAAAAGTTTGATTTTTTCAACATCAACCTCAACTCAAGATGTGACTTCTCTCTCCCCATCTCAGCATGATCATATCATGATCAGAAGAGACTGTATGATACAAATAATTTATTATAACCCACTGACAAAAGCTTCGTTATTGCTTCTCTTAGTAGCACAAAAAGTGCGGTATCCTCCTTATGATGAAGGATCTTACTCATACACCTCCTCCTCCAGAATCCATAGACCCTAATCAAAATATCTCATAACACGATGCACACATTGCAGAAGCTCCTATATTTTGATACTCTTCTTCTCTATGCCAGTGGGTAGGGCATAGCACACTTGCTATGCTTGTTAATGTTTACATTCAAATTTCACATAATTGGTAGTAATCTAATCCATGGCCATCCCATGGTATTCAATTTGCTGGTTTGTTTCCGTGATGGCAGCAGTGGTAATCTTTTTATGTGTCCTTGAGATCCTTGTCTCTGATCATGATTCCTATATTAATAAAAAACGTCAAATAAGTGCTAAACAACAACATTGTCAAAAAAAAAGAAACAGACCTAGACTTTTTGCATGATATCATTGTGAATTTCAACAGCCATGACTTGAATTCCTTTGCTGGTTTCAACCCAGTTTTTAATGTTCCTCAGCTTTTTGATCGACCCAGACTCGGTTCTGGAAACGTGTAAAAGCACTAATCTCCAATTTACTCTTCAACACCAATATTTATTGTTTTCCGTTGTCGTATGTATCTAAAATTGTGACTTCGGCTTTGACGTATTGGTATACTTTTTGAAGTAAAAATTATCCCACGTATCTGCCCTCCACTGTCCATATGGCCTTTTCCCAGTAACTGACATGTCGAATTTTGCGCAGGACTTCTTTCGGTAACATAGAAAAATAAAAAACAATAGGGTAGCAAGGTATAGAAAAATAGCAGGGCTAATAAAATAATATTATTTAAATAATGATTGGAGTCAAAATTTTTAGTCGGGCTTCCAAATTTTAGTAGCAATCAAGATATTCTCGAAAAAACTGAATTGATAATGTTTGTTTTCAGGGTTTGCATAAAGTGACAACCTTGACTAATACTAAACATGCTATCCGATTTAAAGAGTTCAAATAATTTCAGCGGATTTGATGTCATTTTAAGAACAAGCTGAAAAGGAAAAGATAAACCTTTATCTGACGTATACTCAATTCATGCTATATAGAAGCTATTAAAAAGTATAAACCATGAGTCAAATAATAGTTTCCTTCATTAAGGCATTGGTTAAAAAATTTTCTAAGGCTTCCTCTTTTTTTATATAAATTTATCGATTTCTTCTAACGGTACAAGACGGTAATTGTAAATTCTGATAATAGTAATAACTCGCCTCGCGAAAATCCGAGTTGATATTTTCGTTTGTCACATTACAATAAAATTCAAGCTCGTTGAATATAAAATAAATGAAAGAAGGATTCCATCCACTTACTGAATAGGATAAATAAAATTTACAGGTCAGGCCTATATAGATAGTTCTTGTGCCAACGGCCAAATTTGTTTTCCTTTTGCCATGCGATTAGTTGTGTAAAAGTTATTAAAAAAATTCTTTTTGATAACTTTTAAATGTAAAATGCTGCCTTCAATGCAATAATAATAAGGTTCTATTTATATTTCCAGTTATTAGATTTCATGCAGACTCTTTATACTTTCACATTTCTCAAGGAATCAATCAACAACATCTGACATTGATTCTTCAAAACTTACCATTATTAAAGTTTGTTTTGGGGCTCAGATATTAAAATATTACAATCGTTCTAACTCTAAAGGAATCAAAGGTCAAAATTAGGAGCGGATGGGTCTCTGAAATTTATTGGAATCATCGCATTGGGTTTTCTGTTCAGGTCTTTGTGCTAAATTTTCACCATCTCTGGAATAAGTTAACAATCTTGTAGTTAACTTATTTTCCTAAATCCTCTATTCCTTTAAACAATTTTTAATATTATGAGTTCGTTACCATTTAATAATCTTCACACCTCCAATTGCTTCTGCAAGCAAAGTAGTCTTTACATAGTAGGAAAGATAATTACAAATCTTTTTTCTTAAATAAAATTTATATTTTTTTGGCGTATGAATGCTTTCAAAAATTGGCAAAATGGTTATAGGTAAAGGTCGTTGAACATGTCCTTGACTCAAAGTTACAAATTAAAAGGTAGACGGATTATTGGTGATTCATTTTGCTGCTAGAGATCCTGCCGCCATGAGGATAACAAAAGAGGAACTTGCAATAATAATGGAAAGGATAACAACTCAATCTGTTTGGTTTAATATGGTTTTTAAGAAATCTTCATCAAAATCCAATAATAATGGTAGTAAAAAAAATTGGATAATTTTTCTAGTAGAATTTTGTCAAACAGTTCAAACAATGAGGCTCACTATGAGTTGATGAAACTTTATTATTCATATTATAATGTTGTTTTTTTTGGCAGTCTAATACTAAGACCTGATAATTGTATGGTCCTGCTAATAGGAATTTAAATATCATGTGATCCACATTAAAAGTTTTTTTACTTTTGTCTGGTTTTACGGTACATACTCATATAATCTACATTGTTCCAATGTACGATCTTGCAAGTTAATTTCAACATTAATGGTGATTAATATAATTGCATATATATATATTCCAATTAAGTTTTATTTAATAATAAAAAATATTTACTAGTTGTCAGAAGCAGAAGTTGTTGGATTAGCTCAATCATCCATTTCAAATATTTTGGCTATTCCTTATCCAGATTATTCTCATTATGAAAAAATCAAATAATATTTTATTTATAAAAATATTATATACATTGTGACAATAGTAACAATCTCACAATTGCTTTTGATAAATTTTTACAATTAAAAAAAAGATACTTTTTTCCTTTCAAATATTAAATCAAGGTTTTGGTATTTTCAAAGTTTTACTAACCATAGCGATACCACTAAAAATAAATAGCAAAACAAATGGATGAAATTCCAAAAAATCAAATGATAAAATGGATGACAATGATAATGACATTGGTGATGATGATGGCGGTGGTGATAACGGTGATAATAAAGTTGATAATAAATTGATCGTTCCGCCAGGTAATCTATCGCCAATTCTTTCTTCTGAAGTCAGATAAGCAATTAATGCCACAAGAAATAATGTTGTAGGAATGGGAGTGCCCTCGAAGTAACGTACTTTTCCAGAACCTTTGTCTTTTGGCAATGATGCAACGGTTGCATTATAACGTGCTAATCTAGCTATTCCACAACATATAAAAACTGATAAGAGTATTGTATCAAGAAATGTACGCATTCCAACTGCATATGCACAAACTGCTGGAGCAACACCAAATGATACCTATTATAAATAAACATTTATTCAAATGTTAATAAATATTACATGTAAAATTTTTTTTAAAAAAAGAAATTATATAATTGTTTACCAAATCTGCTAATGAATCTAATTCTTGACCTAAAATACTAGCAGTTTTTCTCCATCTTGCTACTTTTCCATCAAATAAATCAAGCGTCATGCCTAAAGGCATTAACATCATACTTAACCATAAATAACTTTGATCATTGGTTATAGCATATCGTATACTTGAGAAAATCGAACATGATCCACATAAACCATTACCAAAAGTAATAAAATCTGCTAAATGAAAATTTCTAAAAGAAAAAAAAACTTTTTTTGTTAATCGAATTCAATATATTTGTGATTGGGATTGATTCTTTTGCTTTAAAACATACCGAACTAAAGAAAAATGTTCATAGTTTTCGTAGCTTTTTAATGTAAACCCAACACTATCACTATCAACATCTACTTTTTCTTGGTCTTTATTTTTCTTTTCTGAATAATTACGTTTATGTGTTCCTTTATCATCCATTTCATCTATTTTGTATGTAGCAATAAATAACCTATCATTATCATGTAGTCGATTATAAAAAATTTTTGATTTTTATAGTTACACTGAATTAGTATTTCGCACTTATGACGTCTCGATGCATCAATGATAACACAATGCATAAAAATACAAAAATGGAAAATGCCAAGGTAGGTTATCTAATTAAAAATCACATCATTGAATCAATACCTCCCCTGAACAATATTAGTAGTGTTATATAGTCACTCACAGGACATTTCCCGCAGATATATATATAGTAATAGGGGATCGTGAACTGCATCATAGTAATAGTAATAGTAATAGTAAATTTTTACAAATCAAATGACTTCTTATCCCCATTTAATACCCTTGCTGTGTAGCAACCATCGCCAAATTTGATATATAACTTCTTTATCACACCATATGTATCTGCTTTAAGAAAATTTTTAAAGCAGGTTGTCAATAAAACCGAAAATAATCTGACCCTCAAATCCAAATTTTGCCTTATATTCATATACGTAAAATTTTTTTAACGCGTCCAATTGCAAGTATAAGTAGAAATAAATGTCCAAATATTACATTATTTACAGATTTTTGATCACTTAGGTATGTCTTTTATAAATATGATAAATAAATAGATATTAAAAGCTATATACTTATGTAAATAATGATTATAACAATAAACAACAACAATAATGATTAAATTTATCTCTGACTTTATCATAGTAATGTTATTAAATATAAGTTAAAATAAAAGAGAAATTTATATAAACTATTGAATGTTTGATAAAACGTTCGTTATAATATTTTGCAAGCTTCATATATCTTAACGCTTGTACAAACTATTAAATGATTGTTAAAACATTCGTTAGTATATTTTGCAAGCTTCAGATATCTTGTCCTTAACGCTTTTACAACTATTAAATAATTGTTAAAACATTCATTAATATATTTTGTTCATAGATCTTGTCCTTAAAGCTTACTCCGATCACTCCTATACAAACTGAATAATTGATAAAACATTCGTTAGAATATTTTATTCATAGATCTTGTCCTTAAAGCTTATACAGACTATTGAATAATTGATAAAACATTCGTTAGAATATTTTGTTCATAAATCTTGTCCTTAACGCTTACTTCGATCACTCCTATCTTAATCATTATTATCACCCTCAAAAAACAATGATTCGTTGTCGTCGTTGCTACTAATTATAATATTATTGATCATATATTACAAATGTAACCAATCAAATCAATTAGCAAATTTTATTTTTAATTTCTTAATTTTTAAATGTTTCCTTTTAACTATGTAAATAAAATAAATAATAAAAATTAACAAAAAGAGGGATCATGTCACGAAGGGTCAATACACCCAACATGGGCCACTCACGTGAGTTCCATCCTCAGCCACGCGGGACTTTACAGTCGGGTCCAAAGTGAGGCATACACCTGAGGGAGCCGGACACAGGTTGTCCATAATGGGTACTTCATCATTGCATGACTTTTCTCCGGACGATTAGTTATTATTGATCCCATTCTATAGCTTATATACCAATTTTTTTTAAGTTGTGCAAAATATGGGAAGTTTACAACATTTCATTGGATAAATTTTATTCAATTGTGTAATCTAAAAAAAATAGAAAAAGTAGACTTTTAAATACAAGATGTATGACGACATACGAAGCTTCCAAAACAAGTTTGTAAAATATACTGATGAACGTTTATCAATTATTAAGTTTTGCAAATGAATGTTTCATCAATTATTGAATAGCTTGTATCGAAGTAAATGTTAAAAGTCAAGATCTATGAAGCTGTTTGCAAAATATATTTAATGAGCGCTTTATCAATTATTCAAATAATTATATAGGCGGGCTTGGTCGTAGTAAGTGTTAAAGTCAAGATCTATTTGCAAATCAAGTTTCCAAAATAAAAGTTTATTATTATCGGCGAGTTTGATCAAAATAAGTCTTAAAGTCGAGATCTACGAAGCTGTTTATAAAATATATTTAATTAACATTTTATTATTATCAATTATTCGACAACTATATAGACGGGTTTGATCGAAGTAAGTGTAAATCAAGATCTATGAAGATTGCAAAACGAATGTTTATCAATTATTCAATAATTATATAGGCGGGTTTGATCGAAGTAAGTACTAGTCAAGCAAGATCTATGAAGCTTGAAAAACGAATGTTTATCAATTATTCAATAATTATATAGGTGTGTTTGATCGAAGTAAGTGTTAAAGACAATTTATACATTTTATTTATTATTTATTTATATATAAATAAAACAATAATTAATAATCATTAATGAAACTTTAATCAATATAAAGTCAGGAATATAAAAACAATCATTAATAAAATACCTTTTAGTTTTTGCTGAATCCCATCATAAAATTCTTCATGAATATTAAATTTCAATAAAATAGTTTTTCGTGAACCTCTCTATAACTTATTAACCAATACCCTCATAAAGCAATGACCATATGAAAGTTTAAAGTATTCTACACCTTCTCATTTACTATCAAGTCTTTTAAAGCGATATTGAGAAATAATCTGTGCTTTGAAGTGAAAAGGTAATACCGTTTTTGAGTGGCCGTGAATTCATGTAGAGAAGAGCTTTCGATATGAAGGAGTATTCATTAGAAAGCTTTAGTGGAGTACTTTCATTTTACTCTAATAACAAAGTTCGAATTTATTATAAAAATAACGAGATATTTAAAAAAGCTTCATGTGACACGAATTTCGAATTTTAAAAATATCCTTCAATGAATTTACTTTTTTTACATTTGATATATCTTTCAATTTTATTAACCACTACTAGTATTAATAATTGTTAAAAGTATGATTTAGATATACGAAATAGATTGATCATTCAACTCAATCAGGTGACTTTTTAATGCAATTAAAAATTGAGATTTTGCAAAGCCAGATTAATTTAGACAGCATGTATAACTTAGAACATTGAAATCTTTGGTTTTCTTTATAACAATTCGACTGTACTCAAAAGTTCTGTCACTTACTCTTATTTTAATAATCGTTTGTGTTAGTTAATTCTTTGTATTTATTAAAGATAAAGGATTGACTTTTTACAAATTTACAAATCTATAATAAGAATAGATAATTTCATTGTAAATAATATAATAAAAATCATTGGTCTTGCTTGATATAAAACTATGAGATAACAATAAAAAAAATACAGTGAATACAGTGCAGTGAATAATAAGAATTGTTAAAAATTATGAATTTTTACACAAAAGTCACGTAGGGTGCATTTCACATGAGTGCCGAGACACATAGCGTGCACTTATAGAGGATGTGCATCTATGGCAAGTGCGATTATAATTAATTAATTAGTTAATTTTTAAAAAAGATAAATTATACATAGCCACTGGTGAAATTGCAGTCATGGATGGAGTCATGGAAGCAAAGGTTTCTAATCAGAAAAAAAAAATATAGTTATTCCTAATATTTCACACAGTGATTTAACAATAATTATTATTGGGGCAATAGAAAAAGGTGAAGCTCATGATGAAAAGGAACACGTCGGTATGTAAATATTGGTGATGTTAGCCGGTAGAAAACCTTAGCCGGTTAGGAACTTTGATAAATCCCAGTTGATGAAAAAACTTTACAGATGATACTAGGCTTGCCGGTATTATTATTACTACTACTATCGTTATTATTATTATTGTCGTTATTATTTACTATTGTTATATCCTACCATTATTACTATTTAAAGGTTCGAATAAGGTTTGTTCGAATTATTTGTCATGAATTTAAATATTCGAATTACATTGAAAGTTTTTTTTTTTTTTTTTTTGAGCAAATGTATGTATTTTTGTCGTTCCAAATAATGCAGATGGACCCATACCAACAAAGTGTCTATGCCACCGAATTCTACATTAGTAAATATTCATATTGCAAATAAATAATTACCATTTAACATACAGTATAACCCTTGTTTCGACGGATTATAATCAAATTCGTGTTCCAACGGATTTTAAAAATCTTTGTTACTATTACACATTAACATTATTATTATTATTATTATTATTATTATTATTATTATTATTATTATTATTATTATTATTATTATTTATACTAAAAATCCGTTGAAACACGATTAGTATTATAATTATAATTAGTACTATTACTAGTATATACTAGTAATTTCGTTTCAACGGATTTTAAATGAAACATTTTTATATGTCCAGCCACTCCGTTGAAACTGTATAATGGCATGCAAATAATTTACTGATATCATCAAAATCGGAATCTAATTTTAAAAAAGATCAAAACTAGAAGAAATCAACCCAGAGGGTAAATATATACAACAATATTTTGTATGCATGTTTCTAGATTCATTGATATACACGGAAAGAATTATTAATGATTTGATAGTATTAAAACAGAAAAAATTAAAAAACTTTATTTATTAAAATTTTTTTTTAAAAAAATAAATAAAAGCATAAAAGCATAAGAGTATACAAATGTATAATGAAATAAGAAAAAAATCTTTATTTATTTAATTCACCAATATATTTAGCCCATAGGGATTGTGGTGTACTAATAACAAAATCATCCTCACACGTAAATGTAGGTGTATCATAATAAATATCAGGATTTAATCGTTGTCGAGCATTGGTTTGATGATTATAGGTTGAAGTACAGCCACTAAACAGTATTTGTTGGTAACAATTATCTTCTAAAAAATTTTTAAGAAATTACATATATAATATTGTATTATGTATGTGTTTTTCTATGTATATATTATTAATATGATGTGTTAATATTTACCTTGCAGATCATTATTATTATCAAGACCATTATTAAGAGGATCCAAAATATATAAATTACGACTATCAGCTATTAATTCATTACTACCAGGCCAACAACATTGTTTAATATCATAGACAATATTATCATCAGCCTATTAATTAAGAAAAATAAATAAATATTTGAGACAAAGAAAGAATATTGAAAAAAAAATTTTTTTTTACCTTTGATTTGTTTCTGGTACCACATCTACGACCTCTTTTTTTGGGATTTTTATCAAAAATACATTTCTCATTTGTTTCAATACACCTATTGCAAAAAAGAGAGTCATCTTTCTTTTCACACCTTAGACGTGCTTTACGACACGGATTGCATGCGATAGAAGCGTGTTTTCGCTTTTCGTAAGGATGTTTTTGTGGTTTTCTTCGTTGACGACGTCGAATCGGAGTAGTTTGCTGGTCTTTTTGTGGTTGTTGTCGATGGTGTGGTGATTGAGATTGTGAATTTGTTTGGTATGTATCTGAACATGAGTGATTTGGTGATTGTGAACTTAATACAGGTTCCTGCGAATACGGTATTTGATTGTTATCCAATGGTTGTGAATTTATATTGGTCAATGAATCTATATCAACTAAATTCCTACAATGCACATTATTACTATTTAGCTCATGAGATGGTAGATGTGATATTTGACCCTGACCTAATGATATATCAGTCAGTGGGAATATATGATATGATGGATATGATATTTGATAATCATTCAATAATTGTAAATTTTCATGAGTCAGTGAATAATGACATGGTCGGAACGAATCCATTTTTATTTTTTTTTTTAAATAATTGTTAAATTTTTTTTTAATAATTGAATAAAATTATTTTTGTAAAGAGAAATTTTGGTGCAATTTTATATCCAGATGAATTAAATGAATTCCATAAAGTAAAGTTCTTTGTTTAGCCATGATAACAATTTGTCATAGATGCTACTGAAAATCTCGACATAAATATAAATACCGCCAATGAGGACTGAAAACAAATTATAGAGACCTTTCTTTGAAGAAATTAAAGATCTCCCGATCAAATTATTCGATAGGAACTCTAAATTCAATATTTATTATACCAATTCGGGCCAACAACATAGCGAATAAATTCGCTCAAACAAGAAATTGTATTACAAATAGAACCTTCCTAGAAGAAAATTTACCATTTTTGAGATTTAATATTTTCTCAAAATTGGCGCCGTTGCAACAAATCCCATTGTTTTAATTTAAAATGAGGTGCAAATGCAAGAAGCTGGAAGATCCAAAAATCATGATATCTCCGAAGATAATTAAAAAGTTATTGATGATTCTAATAATAAATCAGGTTATTACATTGCCAATATTACCAAAGAAATTTACCATTGCGTAAAGTTCCACCAGACGCGTGGAAGAAAAAAGATTTTAGAATGATGGCGATGATTTTGATAAATTCATTTGATGCGATGGTTATATTTGGATTTGATTAACAATATATTGATAAATCCTACTTTTTAATTTAGGATGTCGTAAATTTAGCATCCCTTTAACAACTTTTTAATGCTAAAGATGGAAAAACTACTACTACACGATTACAATTAGTTACTGTTTATATAAAAGCTATTATAATAATTTTACAATACAATCAATAAATACAATATAAAATAAAATAAACATGATGATAACGATGATTTTTAATTCAAAGGCGAGATTTTAATTTCCATCTTAGAATTAGGACGACGATTATTTTCAACTAGTCCCAGCTTCTTCAACTGCTTTAATCCTTTCTCTAAACATTGAATCCACCACATATTTGTATTGGGCACTTGGCTTTGTTTATAAGTTCCTCGATTTCAGAATTATAAACCTTGTAGCGTTATGAAGAAATGTTTACAAAAGCCTAACATTTTTTGTGGAAGCTAGGGTTATTTCCTGCGGAGCAAAGAGCAACAACCCATACAACCAATTGGAGTTTCGTATCCGAACACTCCACCCAAAAATAAGTTTCATCACAAATAGAATTCCATCACTACGACATAAATAGAAATATCGATAGAATTAAACCAAGACCTCAAATTGGTATTTTGTAAATCAGCAGCAATATATTGATTGATTGAATTTACCACGTGAACCGCCGGGAATAGAATTTCTATTCCGATAAATTTTATTTTGCTATTCGAATTACATTGAATGATTATTCAAATAACCTTTTTACTCGAATCAAACAAATAAGAAACCTCACAAAGAATCCCTTTTTTATATTCACTAATAAAGTTGATATACTTTTCCTAACTTGGCAAAAATAAAATACATTTTATTGTTTTTACTTTTTACCGTTGGATAGTGAATTCCGCTTTATTTATTATTATTATTTTTGTTATACAAAATTACATTGTCAAAATAAAATTTTAAATGAATAATAATTCAAATAAGAAATTGTATTACAAATGGAAGCCTTGGATGGATGCTGTGTCATAAAAATATATCTACGTGAAGATAATAATAAGAAAATCCAGAAAGTTCTACCTGCCAGTGGCATCATATAAGTAGTAATCTTAATAAAAAATTTTATTCTAAACATTAACATATCCAATCAAGTGCCTGATTTTGTATTTTACCTACCACAATAACAATAATCTTGTAATTTAAACATTTCTATTACCCCAATTTGGCCACCATTGATGACTTTATGCTGTCCTTCACTGAGCATAATAATAAATTTTATTTGGTTTTGGCAAAGTGTACAATTTTCTATATGCGGGAACACCGTTTAATTCATTAATTTATGTTTATGACATTTCTGGAGACATATTAAAATCAAAAAGAATGCAAAAGAAGATTTCAATGGTTATCATATAAAAACAATAAACCTTGTTTATTTTATTATTTATTACATAAATGAATAATACATAAATATTGATTATAATATATAAATGAATATTGATTTTAATACATATATAAAGTTGTGTATATGTGAAATTTGAAATCTTATAATTAAAAATTTTTGGATATGAAATTCTGATTGGCTGAAATGAAATTTATGAATTTGTAACATAAATAATATTTACAAATAAATAAATTGATTATATAATATATATATATACAAATAAATATTTGATTATAAAAAAACTTATAACATAGGAGATTTTTCATGATGATCATCATCATCATTATTATTTTACTATTATTATTATTATATTATTTGCTACTATTATTATTGCTATTAATATTATCATTTACACCATTACCTCTATGAATTAAGATACCTTTGTGGTTGCCTTATGCTTGAACTCAAAATACTAAAACTATAATTAAAGAAAATAAATAATTATTTGAAACAAAAAAAGAATATTGAATAAAATTAATTTTTTTACCTTTTGTTTGTTCTTGCTACCAGGTTTTCGACCTCTTTTTCTTCCTTGATTAAATATACAATCCTCTTTGTTTCTATCAATACATCTAACGCAAAAATCAGAATCCTCTTTCTTTTCACATCTTAGGCGTAATTTACGACACGAATCGCATGCGACCAAAGCATGTGTTCGCTTTTCGTAAGGTCTCGTTGTTTGTGCTCTTTTTCGTTTATGACGCCGAATCGGAGTAATTGGCTGATCTTGTTGTTGTTGTTGTTGTCGTTGTTGTTGTTGTTGTTGTTGTTGTTGTTGTTGTTGTTGTTGTTGTGGTTGTGAATTTGTCGGATATGTTGTATCTGTATTTAATGATTGCGGACTTGATTCAAATTGCCGTGTATTTATATGATCTTGTATATGTACATCTATATGAGATGATAGCGGATCTGTAAAAGTCTGTGATGTTTGATACATATCTAACGATCGTGGATCTATATATTGAAGTGTACTATATTCTAAAATTTGAGTTGGTTGTTCATCGCGTGATTGGAGTAGGAGCGGATTCATTTTTTTAAAAAATATTTCAAAATTAAAAAAAAAAACAAAAAACAAAAAATATTTTTTACAAAAGAAATTCTAACAAACATATTATATCCAAACGAATTAAATGAATCACACAAGTAAAGTTTCTCTGTTCGACTTTATAAAATTCCATTAACATAAATATAAATATCGCTAATAAGAGATTGTGTGAAAGTTGAAAACAAATCATCGAAACCTTTATTTGGAGAAAATAAGATCAAATTATTCGATAAATCGAATAAATGGAATAGGTGATTTGTATGATAAAATGACCAGAAATTTAATAATGCATAATGCCAATTTGGGTCAACATAGTAATAGTAATAGTAATACTTTGACGGTCGTCTCGATGGTGATAATAATGAATTTTGCTAAAAAAGGCGAAAATTTCTATTTTTAGAGAACTCGATTTGTTCCACGCATTTGATAAAACGAATCGTTTGAACAAGAAATTATGTTACAGAAACCCTTACCATTTAATTCACCATTTAAGATTTAATGTTTTCTCAAAATTGGCATCGTGGCAAAAAATTTCCAGAATTTCATTATTTTAAGTTAAAATGAAGTGCAAGTGAAATCCAATTTAAGTATTTAATTTCTGCTTTAAATCTAAATTCGAGATATCTCCGAAGATAATCAAAAACTTATTGATGAATCGGGTTATTATATTGCCAAGGAAATCTAAATATACAATTATTAAATGAAAATTGATTGCGTAAAGATCTACCAGACGCGTGGAAGAAAATATTTTAGAATTATTCGACAGATTCATCCAATGATGGTGTTGATTCATTTGAATTTCTTTAAACGACGATGGTCTGATTCTATAATAAACTAATTATATAAAAACCGATAGTATAATAATAATTTAGGATGTTGAAAATTTAGCATCTCCTTTAATAACTTGTCGTACCATTATTATTATAAAAATTATCCAATAAATAAATACGTAATGATAATGACGATTTTTAATTTAAAGGCGAGATTTTAATTTTTCACCTTAATATTAGGACAACGATTGTTCTCAACCAGTCCCAGCTTCTTCAGCTACTCTCGTGAGCGGAACACGGGACGATTTCTTTGAATCAAAACTAATACTTTGCCAAAATATGTCTTAGTACATAATCTTTTCTAAAGCTCCTCTCTTCACATATTTGTGTTTGATAAAGTATTTGATTATAAACCTTGTATAGTTATTATTATTTGTCTTGGTTATGGAATATAAGAAGAAACGTTTACAAAAGTTTATAAAAAAGTTGTGGGAGCTAGGATTATATTCTCTGCGGAGCAATACTTTTTGAAATTCAAAATTAGCCAATCGGAGTTTTCGTATCCAAACATTCCACCCAAAAATAAGTTTCATTTCATGAAACCAACGATATATCGTTTGAATTTATCACGTGAATCGCCTATAAGTAGAGTTTCTTATTCAATAACTTTTTATTCGAATCAAACAAATAATTTTACATAAATTTTTATTTGGTTTTGGCAAAGTATACAATTTTCTATATTAACATTAAGTTTTTGTCATATGATCTAAGGCGTCATTAATATTAACACGTTATTATTATTTCAATTCGCAAAAAGAAGATTTTGGTGGTTGGTTGGTTGTCAAATCGTTACCGTATAAAAAAATACACTCACTATATATGTTATTATTTTTCTTATTAAATTTTATTATTATTGTATTGATTATAATATACATAAATAAAATAAATATTATATATTTATAAATATTGATTATAAATAAACAAATATATATACAAAAATAAATAAATATTGATTATAAAATTCTTATTATTTTTCGTTACGGCGAACAAAAATTTGGGTTCACTGGTATTCACACATTGCGGGTTTTTAATAAATTAATCCACTCCATATAAGAGTTGTTATTATGACAACATGGTTTAGTATCATCGACAGTATCATCAGCAGCGTTGGTGTCGCGGTTTTCTGTTTCATATTTCTATTAATTAAGGAAAATAATTAATTATTTGAAACAAAGAAAGAATATTGAAAAAATTTTTTTTTACCTTTGGTCTGTTCTTGCTACCATATTTGCGGCCTCGTTTTTTGGGAATTTCAAAAATACACGACTCTTCCCTTCTCGTTTCAATACACCTATTGCAAAAAGCAGAGTCCTCTTTCTTTTTACACCTTAGATGTAATCTACGACACGAATTGCATGCGGCCAAAGCGTGTGTTCGCTTTTGTGTTTTTCTTTGTTGATGGCGTTGAATCGGAGCAGTTGGTTGGTCTTTTTGTGGTTGCTGTCGATGGTGTGAATGTGATTGATGCGATTGAGATTGTGAATTTTTTTGGTATGTATCTGAACATGAGTGATTTGGTGATTGTAAACTTATTCCGAATTGTTGTGGATATGGTATTTGATTATTATCCAATTGTGGATTTATATTATAATTGAATAATAGTGGATATGTGCGAGTCGGTTCAACCAAGTGATTGCATTGTTCAATTCGCATTTTTTTTAAAATAATTGTTAAAATTGAATAAAATTATTTTTATAAAATAAATTTTGACGCAGTTTTATATCCAGATGTATTAAATGAATTCCATAAAGCAAAGCTCTTCTGTTTAACTCTGATAATACTTTGTAACTTTATAGAATTCCATCATAGATGACTACTGACATACATGTAAATATCGCTAATAACAAATTTATAAGATCGAAACAAAGATCTTTCTTTGGAGAAATTAAGATTTTCTAGTCTAGTTATTTGTTTGTTTCTAATAAATGGAAACTCTACTTCTAGGCGATTCGCGTAGTAAACTTGTGCAACTTTGAGGTTTGCTAAAAAAAGAAAAACTCGATTTGTCCTATTTTATAAATCGAAGGAGAAATTGTATTACAAATAAATAAATAAATTCACCTGCCATTTTGAGATTATCTTAATATATAGAAAGTTCTATTTAAGAATTTTAATAAATTAATGTTTTTATTTTTGATCCAAAATCAAGAAATTATTATTAAATGAAATTTGATGATCAAGTTGATCCAGATCCATCATTGCGTACAAATCCACCACCATGTAAAAGATTCTAGAATTATTGATAGATTCATCCAATGATGGTGATGATTCATTTGTGACACATGAACATGTTGTCTAACCATTGTTTCTTTAATCTGGTTCCATAGCAAACTGATTACACTATCATTATTTCCCTCGTATAAAAAACCCGATAGTATAATTATTTAATCAGCCCTGCTTTTAATTTAGGGCGTTGAAAATTAGCATCTCTTTAACAACTTGTTTGCTACAAGTTACTGCTGATTCTGAGGATGGATAAACTACTTGTGTTGAAATAGAACCTGAAGCTGGAGCTGATGTTGAGCTGATGTTGATGACGATGATATGTTTCGGCTGATTTTGATGATTGTAAAGTTGACATTGATGACAATGGAATGGAAGTTGAAAGCTCTCTTTATCTTTATGATAGCAAACACTTTTTTTTGCAAGCTTTTGATTACATTCTTTGACTAGACTGTTAATCTTTGGTTAATGAGGTATAACTAACAACATTACTAAATTTGGTAAAGTAGACAGACATCAGACCAATAAGTTTATTTCCCTCGACTTTGAATTTGAAGTTAATAAATTGTTAATTTCAAAATTTCAAAGCCTCTTCATTCGTTATTAAAATAATAATAATAATTGCTTGCTTGTGAATTGTCTTGCTGATAATTTAGCCTAGAACCAGTAGCAATATTTCATCAAAGTATTATTGGTCTATAGAATTGAATTTTTCTGTAGATTACACAGCACAAAATGAACTCGTGAAATTGATTTTCAAAAATCAGCTCACTCAAAATTTCTAAAAAAAACAATATATATATATATATATAAAACTTTTACATATATAAAAAAGGTCTATACTAAAAAAATTTCCAAGGAAAAAACTTATTTATATTCATTTGATTTTTTATACCTTAAAGAAAATAAATAATGTATAAAAAAGCTTTATATATACGAATGATAAGAAACTCTTATCAATTGGCAGTTTCACATGGAAAGTTTCCACATGTTAAAGATCCTATTAATAGTATCAAATTGATTAATAATAAGCCATCATTTATAAATCAAATACGTTATGCCTCTGGAATATCGAAAGAAGAAGTTAGTAGTAGTATTAGAATTAGCAGAATAATTAATAGTGATAGATTGAAAATGCTGCTTGACATTTTTGTGTGTTGTAATAAATGTAATATATTCATAATTAATAAAATTAAATTGTAGGAAACATTTGCAAGGATTCAAGAGAAACGAGAAAAGGCATTATTAGGTGGTGGCTTAGATAGGATTGAAAATCAACATAAACATGTGTGTATATAATGTATATTGATCAATTAATTGATATTATAATAATTATCTAATTCTAATATAATTTTCATATCATGCTGAACATTTAGCACAAATTAACAGCTAGAGAACGCATAAATTTACTCTTGGATCCTGGTACCTTTAGTGAATATGATACATTTGTTGAACATGATTGTACAGATTTTGGAATGGAAAAGAATAAAGTAATCTGTAATCTATAATCTGTTATCTATTTAAAATATATATCTTCACTACAAGTATCAATAATAATAATATATATAATTGTAGGTGATTGGTGATGGTGTTGTAACTGGACATGGAACCATAAATGGTCGTCAAGTTTTTGTTTTTTCTCAAGATTTCACAGCATTTGGTGGCAGTTTGTCAAAAATGCATGCTCAAAAAATTTGTAAAATTATGGACAAAGCTGTTTTAGTAGGTGCACCAATCATTGGATTGAATGATTCTGGTGGTGCACGTATTCAAGAAGGTGTTGATTCACTTGCTGGCTATGCTGAAATTTTTCAAAGAAATGTTCTTTCATCTGGTGTTGTGCCTCAAATATCTTTAATAATGGGTCCATGTGCAGGTAATTTATATATTTATATATTTAATTGCCGGATTATTTTATTGATATATATTTGTGAATGATGTAGGTGGAGCTGTATATTCACCTGCCCTTACTGATTTCACGTTCATGGTACGTGATACTTCATATTTATTTGTTACCGGACCTGATGTTGTCAAAGCTGTTACCAATGAAGATGTTACAAGAGAAGAACTTGGTGGAGCAAAGGTACATACAGCAACATCAGGTAACCTTTTTATTTATTAATATTCAAAAATTATTTAAATATTAAATAACTATAATATGTATGTGTTTATGATAGGTGTTGCACATGATGCATTTGATAATGATATTGAAGCTTTACAAAGGTATTACTTATTAATAAACAACCATCTAATCATTTTTAAATAAATCATTTTTTTTAAAAAAAGTTTTTTATTCTTAGGATTCGAGATTTTTTTGATTACCTACCACTTTCAAATCGTGAACAAGCACCAACCAGATATACTGATGACTCAGCACATCGAGAAGATCTATCACTTAATCATATAATTCCAGTTGACTCTTCAAAAGCATATGATGTGAGAGATGTTATCACACGTATTGTAGATGATGAGATTTTTTTTGAAATTATGCCAAATTATGCCAAGAATATTGTGGTAGGATTTGCTAGAATGAATGGTCAGACAGTTTCAATAGTTGGTAATCAACCATTGGTTTCATCAGGAGTTCTCGATATCAATTCATCAGTTAAAGGTGCAAGATTTGTAAGGTTTTGTGATGCTTTCAATATCCCAATCATCACACTTGTTGACGTTCCTGGTTTTCTTCCTGGAACAGCACAAGAGCATAATGGTATTATTAGGCATGGAGCTAAATTACTTTATGCTTATGCTGAGGTATTTGGAGAAGAGAGAGAATGGGAGTGCATATAATATATATATATATATATATATATATATAGCCAAAACCTAATTGATATTATTATTTTTAGGCTACAGTTCCTAAAATTACAATTATTACTAGAAAAGCATATGGAGGTGCTTATGATGTTATGTCTAGTAAGCATCTTCGTGGAGACGTAAGTAAAAAATTTTCTAAAAAAATATATATATTTATGATAAACAAAATTAATTAGATTTGTTCATTTATAATTAATTAATTAATTAATTAATCAATCAATCTAAAAAAAGATGAATTATGCATGGCCAACTGGTGAAATTGCAGTCATGGGAGCAAAGGTTTCTAATCAAAAAAAAATTTTTTTTTAGTTCTCTTAATAATTCATGCAATTACTTAACAACAACAATTATTATTAGGGGGCAGTAGAAATCATTTTTCGTAACGAGAAAGATAAAACTCATGCTGAAAAGGAATATATCGGTATGTAAATATTGCAAATAAATAATTACCATTTAACATATAATAATGCCAAATAATTTATTGATAACTTTGCCAATATATCATCAAAATTGTAATCCAACTTTAACAGACAAGGTAAAAGATTTCTTTTAAAGCATGCGTGAATTAAACATGAATCGAATTAGAATTAAATATTAATCAAAAAATTTATTATTATTATATATTAATTAGTTTGCAAATCCATTACCAGCAGCTCAAAGAGGGTAAATATACAATATAATATACAAACAATCTTTTGTATACACGTTCTTATTTTTCAATTCTCTTTCTTTTTTACACAATTAGATTCATTGATGATATTATTTCGCCAGCAACTACACGAAAAAGAATTATTAATGATTTGGTAGTTTTAAAACAGAAAAAATTACCAATAATTTATAAAAAACATGATAATATGCCATTATAGTTAGATAGATAATTTATTTATAAATATAAATGAAATTTCGAAAATATAAATGAAATTTCGATAAAGTAAAGGAAAAGAATATAATAATTTTTTTCAAGATAAATGTAAATACAATATCTATCTGTGTATAAATTATATACATGTGTATACATCTAGTATATGTAAAATTGATGGGAATTTTTCTGGAGAATCAGGAACTTCCATTGTTTCACTTCGTTTTATTCTACAAATGTACCCCTTAGGTCTATCAAGGTAAACCATAATCATAAAACCTATAAATTAGAATATTAATGAATATCGACAAACTTTTTCAGGAATTAACATCGGAACCATAACAAAAAAAATACCCGAATGTATTATTCCAATAGTTTGTATTTTATCACATTGTGTAGGATTCCAGGAAACCTTCTCCATTAATTTTACTAGCATGTCTTTTGGGTTTTTTGGAGATTTTAAACCAAGTTCTTTTAAGAATTTTGTGCCATACTTGGTTTCCCATTTTTTTCCTACCTCCCATTCCAAATTCATCTTTATCACCATTGGTAATTGATCTTAATACCCAATCTCCTCGGCAGCCCATTTTTTTGCGTGTGCACCAGGTTTTAATATGAGCCTATGAGGTGGGAGGCCTCCAATAGTTAGAGAGTTAAGAAATTCAACAGGATACAAATGTTCTGCCTCAGCCTGTTCTTCAACCATATCTGCACTAAGATACTCGACAGCATCTCCTGGAAATTGAGTCATGATTATATCATTAATAGCATTAACCTGATCATTCTTAGGGGCAAGAATTGCACGCTCAACTAAATATTGTGAATTAGTGTGTGATGAAAATTCAGAATATACAACGTCATCAGGAAGCTGAATAATGTCTTTCTCAGCTCCAACAGCAGGAATATGACCTTCACCAACTTTAAGGAGCCATCTAGCAAATTCATCTTGCTCAATGAGATCAGAAGTAGTACAATGAAGACGCATATTAATTTTAAGTTTCATAACTTCAACGTACAACAACCACAGGAAGAATTTGTCGAAAATCTCCTCCAAATACTATTACAGTGAACCCTCCCTAAGTGCACCCTCCCTAAATGCACGCACTACGTATGCACGGCCCATCTCATACCCTCTACAGCTTCAAATGCATATCTATACATCATTAGAGCTTCATCCCATATGATAAGACTTGTTCTTTGCAATAGTAAGGCTGTATCAGAGCCACGAGAGATGGAACAGGTAGAATCTTCATTTAAATTAATTGATATTCTAAATCGGGAGTGCGCAGTTCGGCCACCTGGTAAAAGAAGTGCAGCAATACCCGAAGAAGCTATTGCTAGAGCAATATGCCCATCTAAACGAATCTTGCAAGTAGAACACTATATTTACAGATAATAAAATATACGGTAAAATAACAAATTCAAAAAAAATAAAAAAAAAAAAAAAAATAATGTAACTACTTATATAAAAAAAGTTTTTCCTGTTCCACCTGGACCATCAATGAAAAATACAGCAGGGGTTTGATTTTCCACTGCAATTATAACTTTTTCAAACGCAATTTTCTGATCTGTATTTAATTGAGGAATTCCATTTTCAACCATTTGAGTAAGCTCTTCAATATTATAGCTTTGTTCTTCACAAATTAGATAATTGTCTTGATCACAATCAGAAAGAACTTCAGGTATGGGCATATCAGGAAAATCTTTAAGACATTTTCCAAGCCTACTTAAAATTGATTGCAAATGGGTTAAAGCTTGGTTGCGGGTATCAGTATTTTCAATATTATCATGAACTTGAAATCGCATATCATCACTAAGAGCATAAAAATACTTCTCCCAAAGATTCTCAGGTCTTTACTGGATCACAAAACAGAAGGAGCGTAGCAAACAAATTACGTAGTTGTGATCCAGTCTGTACCTGAGCAGCTTCTGCTAAACATTGATCCCATTCTTCACCATTCTGTAGCAAACCTAAAATGGCACAGGCTTCCTTGAAAGTATTATATAAAACTCCATTGACAGTGCGGAGATTTTCAAAAGAAGTAGCACCACGAACTACATTAAGTAAAATTCTTAAATAATATCGCTCGCCTGCCATTGGAGAAACAAAATACATACGCCCAATTACATTTTCACGTTGCCTTGGACTCCATTTATTGGTTTGCTTGTTATAAACCCACTGAGTAGGAAAATTTCCATAAGTAAGCTCTCTTGCTTCAGGATATAATGTGTTAGCTTGGAACCATGCTGTAAGTGTTGTTTTTTCAGAATTGGCACGTTCAACTACATTTTCTAAACATTCATCATCCCGAAATATAACTCTATGCTGTCCTGGAAGATGAACTTGGAGGTGTACAACAGCTGGACTTCTGTCATGCAATCGATAATGAAATAATCGCCATGAAGCTTCTGATGCTGAAACATATCTAGAGACTTATCTCATCATTGCTTTCTTGCTTGTGGTTTTGTCTTCTTATTTCTACAGTAGCACGATCATGTCCTTTATAGACATACTTAAAGAGATACTTTACCGCAGTAATGGATGAACAAATTCCCAAGGGGGTGCACCAATTATTTTATTACGCAATATTTCTCCTTCTGATGGTCTTTGTAATGGAACCAAATTAGTTTGTCGATCTTTTAATAGACATGTTATTGAAGCTGAAATTATTACTGGAAAACATTCTGGAAATTGTGTTTTTCTTCCTCGCATTACAATGGCACCTTCAAATACAGATCTACCTTTTATTTTCAAACGTCGTCAATTCCCTGTGCAACCTGCCTTTGCAATGACTATCAATAAGTCTCAAGGACAAACATTAAATTTGGTTAGTTTATATCTTCCAATGCCAGTATTCTCTCATGGACAATTATATGTTGCCTGTTCAAGAGTAACATCACGGGAGAACTTGAAAATTCTTACCTCTAAACACAATGGAGAAGATGTGTATCGTCTTACATCTAACATTGTTTACCCTGAAGTGTTACAATAGGATAATTTGTGAGGTACGTATGTAATTAATTATATTTTTCATTAGTTTTTGATTATTCTCTAACTTTGATAATAATAATAAATGTGACATTTTGTAGTCATGAAATCAAATTTTAACAAAATTGTGTCAATCAAAACTGTTATTTTTTTAAATCTATACATATTTATAATAAATGCAACCAAACTTATTAATGCTATGAATTTACAGTATTGAATAATTTTGAATAAAAAAAAAATTTACAAGATTATTTATAGTGTGCTCTAGATGTAAACCGTCAGCGATTACACCTAGTCAATAATAAAAAAATCAAAAAAGGATTTTGCTGTTTCACGAAAGTAAAAGCGTTGTATAAATTCACTGAGAATCTACTTTTTTAAAGCATAATTTTTGGGGAAGCGTGAGGTTAAAATTTCAAGGTGTTTGCTATTGAAAATGCTTTTTGAATGTCTGGGTATTGATTCATGAAATGATCATCGCCTTTAAAAAAGATTAAAGGTGAACTCGAATTCAACCATGTAAACCATGTCAATGTTGTGGATTAGATGATCTGTCTTTTGTTGCTGTGTCCAACCAAACCAAGTAAAACTGGGGTTTGAAATTGTACTTTGAAAATCTGATTTTTTCAATTTGCTCTTAAAAATATCTCAATTTAATAATAATAAATACTATTTTTTTACTCACTGTTGTTACTACTATTATTCTTTTTTTTCTTTTGCGCACACACTAATGCTAACGCTGATCCATTTGTTGTCCAAAAGAAGTTTTTCAAAACTTTAATTACTTACCATTTTTAATGAAAGTAACAATGTTAACATTAATTGTATGTAAATGCATGTTAATAATGTTATCGTTGGCTCATGTATGCTCATTCTAACATATGTTCACATGATATCTGTTTTTAAAAGTTTTTTTCCATATCCGGTTTAAAGCAAATTGTGGCTTATCGTTATTTTTGAGCTTGTGTAATTTTTTCTGAAATTTATTTCGTTCTCCAAAAATTTATTTCTTACCCGCTACCATCTTATTTTTATTTACATGTCGTTATGAGCTCCATATTAATCACTTTCTTATTCATTAAAAACATTAAAATAAACAACAAAACAATAGAAGAAAGTGGTGTATACCTCGAAGATGACAAACTAAAATAGATAATGTTCAAGGGATTCATGGGTCCAGATTCGTTAGTATCAGAATTTGACAAAGATACAATCATTCAAACAACTGGAAGGTTCATGTGTATAAAACAAACAATATTGATGTTAATAAATAAAAAAATCGTAAGACTCTGTTGAGTGTTATGGACGAGTACGCTAGACTTGAGACGATTAATCGAAAAAGATCTTAGTTTTTTATCTTTGATCCATCCCTGAAAATGAGCAATCGCCGTGTTCTTTCTTTCTTCTCAGTTGTTTACCAATTGTTGTTTTCTCTGTCATTCTAAATATTTTAAAATTTATCAATCTGATCTGCGACGCACAGCTCATTCATGCCAACTTCTTGTTTTATATTATAAAGTACTTTAAACAATTGGTTGCTGCATCCGACTTATCGAGTTTAGATGTGTATGACCTTTTTTATTTTTACCTATGATTTTCCTTTTAAAAAGACAGTTTTTTCCCACTTTTTTTTTTTGCATATGACATCAACTATGATTGTCCGTGGTCCTTCCATATATATACAAGAACATTATATAAAAGCCTCTCTATAAGAAGAATACATGTATGAGCCGAATTACTATTATTAAGCTTATAAAAAAATAACCATCCAAGAACGATAAGGTCATTTTTAGAAAGGCTTATATGCAGGAGTAATTACTTTTTTTTGTATTACTATTACAAAATTACAATGGAAATAAAGCTTGTTTGTTTCTTTTTTAAAAATTATTATAACTCTTTAAAAAAAAAATAATTGATCGGAAAGTAGTTTCTTTTTTTTCTATCTTCCCATAAAAAAATGAGTTTATATTTCAAAGATATCGGACTTTATTTATTATCTATCATAATATTTATTATTACTAATGTATTTTCAGATTCTAGTATATCACGTCATGCAACTTTTAGCGTAGTGGTGGATAATAAAATTTATGTTCTTGGAGGATTTAGTGCAGGAATATCATCTTCAACGGATTCATTATTTCATGTAGATTTGACTAAAGATTTTGATGCTACAAAGGTACCATGGGTAGATGGTGATAAAATACCTGTAAGAACTGCTTGGGGCGTAGGCGCTGTTGGTGGGACAAACAAATCTACAATATTCTTATTTGGTGGAATTATGATCAGTTCAACTTCCAATGCATATAATTTCACCAATTTGCTTTATGCATATGATATACACAAAAATGTTTGGTATACACCAGGAACAACAGGAATTATCCCCATGAATCGTCGAGAAAGCAGTATTGTGGTGGATGATAAAGGAAAATTATATATTTTTGGTGGATTGGCAGATGGATTTACTGGATCTCCTAATTTTATCATTTTTTACGATATATATACTTTGAATACAGCAGATCTGACTTGGGGTCGAGTCTCTGCAATTGATCCACCATTACCAACTTGTGATCATACTTCAACTTTATTACCTGATGGTAGAATTGTGATTATTGGTGGAAGAGAATCAAATGATACCAACGGTCTGACTCTTCGTGAAGTTGACATATATAAAGTATGCATTTATCTTTATAATTTGAATTTATATATATATATTTATTTATTTATTTATTTATTCAAATATGTTTATTTTGTAGATAAAAATTTTTAATACAAAAGATTTACATTGGACAATTATGACAGCTACTGGTTCACAAACAATTCAACCTCGATATGGTCATACAGCAGTATTAGGTAATTAATTTTATTTATTTTAATTTTTTTGAGAATATAAACAATTATTTTAATATCACAATGTATGCATACACAGCAAATAATACAAATATAATTGTTTATGGTGGTATGAGATATCCAGAAAAAACCACAGCATTTCCTGAACTTCTTGTACTGGACATCAGCACAAATCCCTTCCAATGGTCTACACCCAACTTTTCACTTGATAATCGTGCTCCACCTCTAACAATGCATGTAGCCAATTTAATTGGAAATCAAATGATAATAAGTTTTGGTAAATCGTATATATATATTAAAACCAAATTTTTATTCTTTCAACCTAAATTAATCAATATAAAATAAAATTATACACATATATAGGAAATATTACAAATAATATCACGGATCCAAAATCATCTAGTGCAGACACTCATATACTTGATATTAAAGATTATAGTTGGAAATCAAGTTATTCAGCATCTGAGGCAAATTTAACACCAACACCACCAACACCATCAACATCATCAATATCACAACCAGAAACATCATCATCATCAGAAATTACTGTTGAAATATTAGTGATAGTACTTCCAATTTTAGCTGGATTAATAATAATTGTGGTGGCATCATTTATTATTATAAGATATCGAAGGAAAAAGAATGAAAATATTATAGAGATACCGAGTGAACAACAACTTCTACAACACGAAATTCTAATCCAAAACTAATTTTTACTTAATCAACAATGATATTGCAAGCCATCGATATAACAACAACAACAATAATGATAACATGGTTATAATTATTATTGACCATAATACTGTATTTATAAAATTTAATAATAACACATATTTATTTTATCACAACTCCATTCAAATACCATCATTATATTTGTGCCTATTGTGTTGTTCTTGACATTCTATTTGGGAGTATTTATTCTACAAAAATATTCCTCTGATCTTGAACGTATATCCAGTTTTAGAAACCTTGTACAAGCGTTTTTAATTCCTGATATAGAGTTGGCATTATTATAATTTTTATTGAAAATCTGTGTTATAATTAATACAGTTGAAATTCTATTATTATATGTTCAGCCACTTTGTCGTAACAAGGTTATACTGTATTCCCGTTTTCATTTAATCCAAAATTAGACAAAGTGAAACATTATGTTAATTAGTCCAAATTAGGTAAGTACCAGGTTTTTCTTTTACCCCGTTTATTGTACACAAGATAAAGTAAACTAAAAAATTACCAATATCAAGGTTTTCTTACCTTCTTTTCAAATTCTTTCAAACTCTTTTGATTTCTTCATTACTAGTTAGTATTCTTTGCACTATAATCATTCTTCAAAAATTCTCTAACAGCTTTCAAAAGAAGTCTAAATTTCTTCTTTCAAGTTACTAGATGGAGATGTTGTAAACACTCATCTCAGGTTACAATTACCTTCTTTTTGCTGTTCAATTCGTTTGATTAAACAATGGAGGCAATTGATGTTGACATATATTTCTTTTTATTTTTAAATTTATAAAATTAATTATACCCTATTATGTCTATTTTCCGGTAGTATAACTATCTCTTAAAATTTACAAAGAGAGGATAATGATATTAAGACCATGCAAAATTAAACTTTTAAGGAAAGTGAATAAATTTATTTTCTCCTTCCTGATTGTACACAATTGTAATTCCTTAAAAATCATCCTGAAAAATTAAATTAAATCTAGCTTATTAAATTTAGGTGTTAGATTTAATGAATCTTTTGGATTTGAAGGTTTGGTTCACCTTGAGCTATTTTCAAGTTGTATTGGGGTGTATCTTTCAATTTAGAAATGCCTAAATTTAACCCAAATTCCACTATCAAACAACTTTTGCCTGCAAATAACCTGATTAATAACCTGATTGAAATTTACACATAACAAGTCTGAAAGTTCTATAACTACCTTATATTAAGCTCTCTTTTTGTAATAATGGTCATGATGACCATGGTGATGCAAATGTATAGTAACTTGTTATATTAAAAAGGTTTTATATAAAATCTTGAACTTGCAAACCATACTAGGCACCATTCCTACTATACTGAAAATCTCCTGGATAATTTCGACCAGTTATGAACTCTTGTTGCACTTTTTGGTTACAAAGATTATGAACACAGGAAAGACTTTAAAAGCTCTTCAACAAGAAAAAAAGCCCAAATGCAATGTCAATAAAATTTGCAGTCTCATATCCTTCAGGCTCACTAGATTGGATTAACCTTTTCTTTTGGAAGATATCATTAAAATTATTTTGATTTTTTAATTTTTGAACTCAATTGTAATTTTAAAATCAAATAATAGATGAAACAGTCCATGTTTTGATGCTAGAAGAAAAATACAAGTGAAGTGCCAATTGGTGGGAAGAAAAATATGTTGTTCGAAAGTTTTGAAATTAGATATGATGAAACTTTTAAAGACAATACTAATAAATTTACTGGTGAATTAGAATCATATTTAAATCAATGTACAAATTAAATTATTTTTCAGAAAGTACTATCCTATAGCCTATTTTAACCCATTCTGCACAACAAGGATTATCACTAGTACCCAGTACAGTAATTTATTGTGTATACTTTGATTGGTGTTGAGTGCTATATGTACTGTAGATTCTGTTTAATGTACAGAGCATTATTAGTACAAGCGCAATTCCAGTTGCAGTATATGAAACAATTAATTGCTTAATTTGAGTTCAATGTAGTTTACGGATGGATACATTTATATCGATTATCATTTATCATTCATTATAAATTTTGGCGAGATCAGAAGTTGGTTATACAATAGAATATTCAGATTTTTATTCAGATAAAAAGGCGTTCCATCGCTTGATTTTTTTATCCTTAATTAGTTTATTTTCATATCGATTACATTAATATTAATTTAGACATATCATTTAATTTGAACGGTTACAAATTTTGTGTCAGATTTTTGAATTTAAAATTTTCTTAAACAATAATTTTTTAAACTCACAGAGGGAAAAATGTCATTTGAAAGATTATTATCACCAGACAGAAAAGAATTTGTGGATGAATTTTATGGTAATGCTGGGGCAAACACGCCTAATGTAAAAAAAATTTTTATACAATTAGATAAAAGAAATAAAGAGCTTTTAGAAAAAGAAAAAAAAGAAAAAGTAGAATGTGAAAAGTGTAAATTCACAAGATACCCGGGCAGATATTGCGAAAATTGTATTAATCTGTTGCACCCACAAAGTCTTTGGAAATCTGCTGATAACTTTATTCAGCATCGTGATAATATATCAATACAAGATAGCAATTGTTATATTACAGATTTAGGATTGTGTGGACCAGTTTATGATATGTCGTCAACTAAAATCTATGGGGTTATACCATATATTGCACCAAAGATTTTTCAAGAGAAAAATTCCACAAAAGAATCCGATATTTATAGTGTTGGAATGCCGGCGTGGAAAATATTTGCCGGCAATCGACCATTTGACAAGGCTAATGATTCTCAATTGACTCCTGATGTTAGCAAAGAACTTTGTATATATGCTCCAAATAAATTAGAAGTTTATAAAGCTGATAACAATTCAATTAAAAGAATTTTCAAATTATCCGATCAACAATACCAACCGCGTTTATTTGAATATAACACAAGCAGAATATTAGATGGTCGAACTGAAGAATCTTATGATATAGATGAAAATTTAAAAACTAATTTTAATTTGAGAATTAATATTAATAATAATGGAGGTGGTAGTTCTAATGACAGTGATTCACATCATGTATACCAAAAATGGTATGATGCTAGTAATTCAATGTTATCCGAAGATATCTTAAATAATAAAGGTGATTTGAATACATCGATTGGAATTTGCTAGTTATTAAATTATTATTAATTATATTAACATAATTAGATTCTAGCGCTAATAGTATAGGAAAATATACCGAAAGAATTAGTGATGAACTGACATCTTGTTCAAGCAGAAAATTAGATGATGATAGTTCTAAGTCAAAAGAATTAAAAGGTTTATTTAATACAGATGAATTAAATAATTCATTAATTGAAATTGAAAACAATATAGGAACAAAGTATCCAGCAATCATCATCGAAGCGCTTGATACGTTGACAACAAATGATGCAAACGAAGAGGATGAAAGGAAATATGTCACAAACGCTTGCTCTCGCTGTAAAAAAAGACACATAAAGTGTGATGATCATGAACCTTCATGCAAGAATTGCAAAGAAAAGGGTTTTGCTTGCAAACGTATTCCACCAACTATTGTACGTGGCCGTCCCCTGGGTTTACTTAATGGTCAGGGAAAATGGAAAAAGAAAAATGTAAATAATGGAGCCGAGAAAAAACCTAGACAAGCTAGAAGAAGACGGAAAGAATTAACTAAACAACTTAATAAAGGCAGTGCTGATTTGGCATTTCCATATACTTGTGATAACAATAATAATAATAACCTTGCCTTTGGAAATAACGTTCAGAATTCGCTAAATGATTTTAGCAACTTCGATAAATTCAACTCTGATTTTTTTTCTCCCCAAAATCAACCTGGAAACTTTAGCAATTATGATTTTGATCCAAATGCATCATTGATTACTGATATATCTATTAATTCTACGATTACCACCGTTACGAATACTGATTTTGATCCTATTAATCTTGCTATTAATAACTATGGTAGAGGATATAATTCACAAGATCCAGAACAATACTGTAATTCGTTAGTGCACGGTTTGCCAGCACCGACTGAACTATTTAATATTAATATTCCTTCATTTACGAACGAACAATATTTGAAAGCTGCAGCACTTATTTCAAGTACAAACGCTGCAATAAATGTAGCAACACCAACACCAATTATTAATAATTACGATCCTCTTGGAGATTTATCCCAAGATTTAGCTCCAAATTTTAATGCTGAATCAGAAAAATGGTTTATTGAAAATAACGAAGAAATAACAAGATTCTTCCAAAAATAAAAAATAAAATAAAATCGTAAACCAATCAAATTTTTCACTTTTATTTTTTTTCAGAAATAATTTTAAAAATAATTTTTCATTTTATTTTTTCACTTTCAATATACAGTTTACTCGCTCTCTATCCAGTTCCAGCAGAAAATGACCGTTATAACGTTAGATCATCATCATTTTGCCGGTCATCACACGGACAAAATTTTATATAGAAAATTAAATTGTAAACAAAAAAATTTGAATAAACATAAAAGTATAATAAATGGAATATTAAAAAAATGATAAATGAAAATAGAAAATGGGTTTTTTTATATAATAATGAATAATTCAAAAAAAGTTGTCTGAATTGATTTTCCTTTTTTATTAATATTAATAATTCCTACTTTATTGTAAATCATCAGGATTGCTGTTTTAATATACAAAATATAATTTTTCTATCGCCAATAAAACCTCTTTATTTGGAACAGACAAAGCTTCTTCTTATTATTGGCATTAGTCTTACTCGTTTGAGATAATTTTTGTCTTCAATAATAAAAAATAAAATTATTATTATGTGATACAGTTCGTTATATACAGAGAGAGAAAGTTTATCAATTGGGCAATCAGACCCAAAGGCGTAGATTAGATAAGATCATGTACCATATTCGGACATTCATGCATTCTCCTTAAAAATATGCAAGTGAGTATTGCCATTGGAATACAAGGTACACTCCTGTTAAAATGACATTCCCAAAGATAATAATTTCATTATGACCATTCCACGTGATATACAGTGTGTTTCAAAAAAAACCGGAAAATTATTGTTGCTGGAAAAATTTTGTAACTTTCGCTAAAAAAACAATCCAACTTGTTTCAAATAAAATTTAAACAAAGCTTTGCTTTTTAAAGTTAT